TAAGCTTTCGTGGACTACAGCCCACTATATGCATCCGAAGAAGTGGGCTGTAGTCCACGAAAGCTTATGCTCTAATAAATTTGTTAGTCTCTAAGGTGCCACAAGTACTCCTGTTCTTCTTTTTATGAAAGCATAGGAGAAGATTACTGAAAAGTGTCTGCATGGAACTATTGAAATTTGGAAGGGTCAGTACGGATTTAGGCTGGGAATAGTACATTTGATGCTATATTTGGTCTATGAATCCTCATGGAGAAGTTCAGAGAAAAGACGCTGCAACTGAGTATGGTATTGTGGACTTGGAGAAGGTGTACAATCACACACACCAACAGAAGTAGTTTGGTAGAGTTTTGTGATGGAGGTGTGTGCCAGAAGCATTTGTCCATCTTGTCCGGGATATGTATAATGGAGTGAAATTCCATGCAGTCAAATTTCAAATCCTTTGTCAGAAATATAGGCTGCTACAGCTTTTCAGTGAAATCACTGTAAGAATTTAAAATTAGCCAAACAATGCATTTTCCCCTAATTTTGTTCTTGGAAATGCTTGAACCATTTTTGATGGAACTGTTGGGATTTTGTGGTTCCCAATGAGTCAGATGCTGGGCAGAATCAAGGGTCTTTGATTCAACTTGATTTGATTCAATTCAACAAGGCTTTATTCAGTGTGCACAAAGGGAGAGCCCCAGTACAAAAATCAGCCAGAGCCTCTCCAGCAAGGAGCCCCTCCCATCGTTATTTTATAGCACATGGCAGTTACGTAACAAGTTACATAACACAAACCTCTAACCAATCATATGTAACCTTTCCATATATAGATTTGTTCATCACATGCTTATACTTCTCCACTCCACATGTTGAGCTCACCCCACTTCCCTTGGGCTTTTCTAGAATGTTCCTAGGGTGGTGAGCCACAGCATGCTTCTTTATGCATAAGTACTTTGTAAATCATATTTTTGTTTAAAATGAACACAAGCATACCCTTTAGAACTTTAGAAAAAAGTCAGCCAGCCTGAGGCAGTCACTTAGCATGGAAATTTTCAGTCCAAATGGTTAAAATTTGGACAAGTTATAAGCAATGGACAACAGGATCTTACAATAGAAAGGGTTAGGCAACTTTAACTATAGCCATCACTTTCTTTGGGCCTGCTTCCATTGAATTCAATGGCAAAAGCCCATTGGGGACCCAATAGTATTCCCTTCAAACCAAAGAGTAGCACTGGTAAAGTGCTTTAATCAGTATTTTGGTAAGTGATATAATGGAATTATATAGTAATTTGTTTGCTAGATTTGTAACTATTTATATTGAAAATAAAATAAAAGTATTATATAAATATTTATTTTACAGAAAGCTTTAGGTCTCAGAGTATTGGGTACTTTGCTTTTGTAGATATTATGGTTAAGAAAGATTTATTAAGACATTGGATTATTTGTTTTTGGTTGTAACATATCTAGCCAACAGAAAAAGTTCTTCTCAAAAAGTACATGGGAAAACTATGCTATCTGGCCTCAGGCCATAGAAAGAAAGTGATGAATTACTGGACTGGGCCGTTCTGCCCTTGTGGTAGATTGGGCAAACTTCCCCAACTAATTGGCACTGCCTCACTGCAGGGATGCTTGTTAGGCTTGCTGTCAGTGGGATGGGGGCCTTTCCCACCACACCCTATTAGCACCAGTTTTGTCTTTGTGATTAAGCCTAACCATAAAAAACAGCTGGTACAAGTTAAAGGGACTCTCTCAGGCAGAGCTGTAACTAAGCATTTTAGCGCTAGGGCAAGTAAGCTTATTTGTGCCCCCTACCAATTTTTTCATCATTTTTCTGTGCCGCATTCAGAAATGACACATAACTGTTGCTAGTGTGTGGGGGGGAGTGCACAATTTAAAGGTTGAGGTGGGTCATGTGACTGCCCCATAGAGGTTTTCAAACTGTTGGGCATGCCCCCTTAGGGGGGGAGCGGCCCTGCGCAGTGGGACTTTGGAAGGGAGCGCCGCTTCCATCCCCTGACTCACCTCAGTGACCCAATGTGCCCCCCCCCCCACATACACACGTCATCTCTGTCCCTGTTTTTCCATCCCTGTGACTTTGCGCCCTGGGTAGCTGCCTTGCCCGCTCCATTGTGGTTACAGTTCTGGTCTCAGGTGAAATGTTTTCCATATTTTACTTTTTGTAAATGGACTTTTACAGAATTTAATTAGAAATATTTCATAAATGTTGTTTAAATTAAATGGCAACAGATTTTTTTAAACAAATAAACATTCTCCCAAACACTTGTGCAAGTGCACCAGAACCCAAGAGTACAAAAACCAAAAGCTGACTCTAAACAGAAATAAAATTTACTAGTTTACTTTCATTGTTTTAGCTGAGACAAATGTAATATAAAAGGGAATGGACTGTTAAGAGGAGATACTGGCTGGGCAGCTGTCATATTGCCACCCCACTACCAGGGGCGGCTCCAGGCACCAGCGCACCAAGCGCGTGCCTGGGGCGACAAGCCGCGCGGGGGGCGGCCTGCCGGTCGCTGTGAGGGCGGCAGTCAGGCGGCCTTCGGTGGCGTGCCTGCGGGAGGTCCGCCGGTCCAGTGGCTTTGGCAGCAATTCGGCGGCGGGGACGCCGATGGCGCGACATCGGTGGACCTCCCGCAGGCACGCCGCCGAATCCGTGTTACCAACGGACCTCCCGCAGGCACGCCGCCGAAGGCCGCCTGACCGCTATGCTTGGGGCGGCAAAATACATAGAGCTACCCCTGTCCATTACAGAAGCACTGCTTAAATAAAGCTGGTGGAAAAAATGATGGGTAGCTTCTTAAGAACTAACTGGCCTTCCTGCCATGTTATGATAATTACTTAATTTACTTTGTTGTTAGCTTCTTTCATAATATAGTGATTACAGTAAGAGGTTTCCTACATCTGCATTGTACATTTGTCTGTGCAGGGGGCAAGTGTATGTGTGTACGTGTGCATGCACAAAAAGCAAAGTTTCAGTATTGTTAGGGCAACACTCCTACCATTGCATTAAGCATGGAACTCTATTGACATTAATAACAAGGAGTCTGGTGGCACCTTAAAGACTAACAGATTTATTTGA